AAGAAGCCAGATGGACAGGGAGAAACCGGGATAGCAAAGTAGTATAGACTTGACAAACAAGACCTTAATAACTGGCACAACCAGTATAGTGGTTGCACAGACCAGAAAATGGCCTTTTATTGTGTAACTTATTTGTTATTCTCTTTTTGGAAATGTTCCAACTGGACAAATGAAAATTGTGTTTATTGTGTGTGGTCCCTAAGAGCAGCACCTTAATCTAGAGATAGAAGTTATAGAGAAGCAGATTCTGGCTCAATGTAAGCAGATAATTAGAGGTGTGTAATACAAATATGAGGTTTGTATCATACAATATTGCTGGCCTTTTTAGGACAAAAATGGCCTCAAATAGCTGTACCTTCATATGACACATAAACACAAATATTAACTATCATATATGAAGTGCTTATCAGTTTTTCAGGCACTGAACTAATTCCTTTACATATATGAGCTCACTTTATTCTAAAATAGCCTCATAATATACAATTTATTATTCTCATTTTATAGAGGCTCAAAAAGATTAAATAACTCGCCTAAGGTGATTTAGCAAACAGGAGGCAAAGTCTGCACTGTAAACCAGTCTTCTCCAGCTTAAAAAGCCTCACTCTTATTCACTATGTCATACACTTACGTACTACATAAGTCTATGTATAAACAGAACCAAGGTGGCAAGTTCAGGGTCACCAAGGATGTTCAAGCACATATAGTCATTAATAACCCCACTTCACACATAAAACAAACTCAAGGCAGAAACTGTTAGTCCCTTGTTCATCTATATTTGTTATCTGACTGAAGGGAAACCATTAGAAGAATAGTTTCTTCTCTTGGTGTGGGCATCAGTATGCAGCCTGGAGGAGGTGCTGCTGGCTCTGTATAAGGAACATACAGGCGGTGTGAACATGGAGCCACATGAGAGATATCTAAGAGCAGTTTCTGCTCCCCTCTGGTGATAACATGGTGCCTGCATCAGCTTTCCCGTCTTTTGAATAGAGATAGGACCTTTGTTTGAATCTCAGTAGACAGAGGCCAGGCCTTGTTTGAAAGCGTAAATCTCATTTAGCAATCTGAATGTTGTCCTCTCATGTGACACCCTGCATGCATCTTGGTGGCTCCCCGACTAGTCAGGTTGCTCACTTCATCTCCATCTAAGCTTCTTACCTGGAGTAGCTCTTTTCATCCTGCCTGAATAAAGCCAGTTATCTGTACTACAGAAGAATGAGTACGTGCTCTACAGCCAGCGTACATCCAAACCTTGAAGGAGATACCTTTGTCTACAAATGATCCACAGAATCTGTGTGCAAAGTCTCATAAACAGAGTATAGATGAATAACAGACAACATTAGCACAGATTTGGCCAGAAGATGGGGAGTGGGGGTTTAGGGGATATGTCATTTCATTGTACTTCTCTTACTTTACTAATTTAATATGAAAGCAAGACCAGTTTATGAAGGGAGGGGGAGAAAAGGACAGAAAGATACATAAAATAAACATTTTAAGTTCTTTATCCACATGTCATATATCCATGGCGTAGGGGAGAATAAGACTACATCATGTATACTATACTGTGAGCTGTTCCTTGTACTTGACACTCTATCTTGGAATCTGCCCAACATCAATACTGAAGGTACACCATTGCTTAAATGGCTGCGTCATATTCCACAGGACAGACGTGCTCATCTTTCTTTGACCATTTCCCCATTGATGGGCTTTTGGCAGCAGAGAGCTTTCTTTAGTGAGTGGTTCTATTAAAGCAATAAATATATAGAAATATAAAATACTTGACAAATCCCATCCAAATGAAATGAAATTCGAATTAAAAAAAATAACAATTTAAACAGGCTAGGAATTTTGAACAGCTTTATTAATTTTAAATCTTTTGAATGCTTATTATTAAATGAGAAAGCTTTCATTATTGCCCCACATACTTATCAGGAAAATGAAACCTTTCCTTTTGCTTGAAGTGTTTTGACAGAATTTCTGAAAACAAGAAAGGAAGGGCCTCTAGGGGAAAGTGAACACACCAGGCAAATGAGATTCTGGCACTCCTCCTCAGGATAGGGGTTATTTTCAGTCAGTTACTTACTGCGCCCGATAGATATCAGACAAAATCAGATTGCAATAAAAAGTACGAACTCTTTTGACTACTTTCCTACAGAGGCACTTATTTTACTGAATTAATGTAGTTTTTAAAAAAAATGTATAGAAGTCTTTAAAGACATCTTAGCCAACTCAAATAATACATAATAATAAACCATAAATCATATAGCAAGTCGAATAATAATAAAACCAAACTACACTCTTCTCTTTTGCATTTTGTCTTTATTTTAAAGGAAGGGCTTTTGTGGTAGGGGATCTGACAAAACTCAGTGGCCTTCATGTCATCTTTTATTCTGAACATGCTCTTTAGGTTGAAAGTATCTGTAGCCCAAGAGCACCCAAAACAATGACATCAGCTTCTGAGGCTGAGATATACTGTTGGGTCACATGGACTACCAAAGACACAGCACCAAACTCTTAAACTTTGACAAGGTCGCACATGAACTTTCCAGTCTAAACTGTACATACAGATACGGCTTGACTAATTCCTTACACACAGTAGCTATTCAGTAAATACACCCTAAGTGAATGAATGAATGGTTTCCAAAAGTCAAAATATTGTCAAGATGCCTCTTGGTGACAAACCATATTCCTAAGAATAGTGAACAGAAGAAAGGTAAGATCTGGTACCAAGAAGGAAGTAGAAAGACTATTTAAAGAATAGCTTCTCTGGTACATGGTAAAACTGTGAAGTAGTTGAAATGAATCTTCGAAGAACTCCCAAGACTTCCTTTCTGCCTGGGCTTCCTTACTTTTACCCTTTGTCATGTTCCTTCTTTTACCCATGATGAATGAACATTGAAGCTCAGATTCTTGTCATGACCTTCTTCCTCCGCTCTATAATTTACACTCATGATAATACTAACAAACTCATTCATACTAAAGTCTAAAGAGCTGATACAGTTGAATATTCTCATCAGGATTTTTTATTTTTTAATAAAATATGCAAAAATTAATCTCCAATTTATTAATGCCTCAGGAAACTTAAAGTCACAAGAACCTTCTAGTACCTCTGAAATCACCCTGTACAGCATGATGCCCCCGGTGGTTACTCAAACACTAGGCTTTGTCTACACCGAGATTTATGCATTGAGCTCAAAAATTTTCACTGACCTCAAATGACATTCTTCAGCTATAATCTGAGGAAAGAGGACCAAGATATTGGTTTAAACCCAAGCTTTGGCTTGGCTGGAAAAAAGTCCTCTTCTACCTACCTTATTGCAAACAAAAATAAATCACAGGGATTTATTTTATGTCACAGAAAAATAGTCCATACACAACAGCTAGTCAAAATACAGCGAGTTAAGAGGCTAAGCTAAGGGTAAAAGTATGAAACACTCTGATTTTCCATGGTATGTTATAATGTAGTCTAAAATATCTGTGGCCCTGATGTAGATTAGTTAGCACTTGTTAACTATATAACTATAGTTTGAAGTGCTTATAGTCAATTATGATACACATATCTGGTCTGGGACATATTTTTATGGTGGTTCCTCTGAAGAGATTTGAAAATTAAGTTATTTAAATGTGCTTATCATTAGCAGTTTAAATAAATGACATTTATTTTGGCAAGAGCTAAATTTTTAACTTGGCAGCTGTTTTCAGGCAGATTATTGTCAGGTTATGACAGTGACTGATTTTGAAAGAAGGAAGAATTTACAAGAGATTATTTTGTTTTCAGACCTTTGTGCTTGCATTTCTATAAAGAGGCCAATAATTTTGTCATTGCCCTAGGACACTGGGTCCCGAAGACATTGCAATGTTTGCATCATTGTGACCTGATTTCAATAATAACCCCACATATGGAGAACTAAAAATGTTATTTATTTAAAAGAGGAATTCTTCAAATATATACTCTTCAGAGGCTGTTTGGTTGGTAAATTGGAGATTTATAGAGGAGAACATCATAGAAGATTAAGAGCTCTGCACAGAGAGTTAGGAGATCTGGGTTCAAGTCCCAGCTTTGAGAAGATCACTAAGTAAGTGTGCACTCTAAAAGCTTTGAGCTTCAGTTTCCTCATCTAGAAAATGAGGTTATTTCAAGATGATCACTAAAGTCTTTTGGTAAAAAGTCCATGAAACCAGGCTAGGTACTATCAGGTTTTGCCCAAGGTTGTCCTAGGATCTACACAAAGACCACAGGGTGTCTCCCCATCTACCACACAGTCTGAAAACACACAGTGCACACATCCCATCTGCCCCCAATTTTAATGTCTTGACTTTCAGCCGAAATTCACGACAATTATGTTACCTGACACTGCAGCTATCGATGGGACAGTAACCCAAAATTATTTTTGATTCCTGGCTAGGAGAATGAAAAACACTGCTTTTAATTTATTAACAAATTACCAGTTTATGATATGAAGTCACAAGCCACAAATCAAGTCTATGAAACACCATGACGGGCTACAGAAACACCATAAAGTAGCTACTGACATCTCATGTGGTTGTCTTTTATTAAAAAGAAACTCCAAAAATTAAATTTTTAGCACTGTAGAAATGAGTAAGTCTGATTATTTTTAATCAGAAAAAGATGACCCAAGACAACAAATTCATCTTAGTTTCTTTTAAAATAAAAAGTTCTTAGAATATATACTTTACCCAAAATCTAAACTATAAGCAAAATAGAAATCTGTTTTCTAATTAGAAGCAAGAGTAAATTCAAAAGAATATAGAAAATGGCTTAAACATCCTTTTTACAAATAAGCAATCATATATGATGGGTAACTTCATTTAAAAGATTCTTATTTGAATATCTTATCATTTTAAATTCAAATAATGTTTTTCAGTTCTCTCTTTGGATTATAGAAATCATAAGCCCAAAGGCACGTGAGAATTCTCTAAAAGATTCGGGATGAGATTTCACACATAGTTTTGAAACATAATGAAGAAGTAAGAAGTCGTACCTTGAAATCATATGTGGCGTCTGGGTTTTCATCACAGGCAATAACTTCTGGTGCCATCCAGTAGGGTGTACCAATGAAAGTATTTCTCCTGCCCACTGTTCGATCAAGCTGGGCACTGACTCCAAAGTCCACTATTTAAGAAAATGCAAATGAACAAAGTGTATGATTTTTATATGGTGATAAAATAAATGTGTTTTTTGTTAAAACACATGTAACATAAAATTTACCATTTTAAAGTGTTCTGTAGTATTAAGTACTTTCACGTTGTTGTGCAACCATCACCACCATTCATCTTCAGAACTTTTTCTTCTTCCCAAACTGAAACTCTGTCCCCATTAAACAAGAACTACCCCTTCTCCCCTCCCCCCAGCCCCTGTCAAGCACCATTCTACTTTCTGTCTCTATGAATCTGACTCCTATAAATGGAATCATACAGTATTTATTACTGGTTTATTTTATGTAGCATAATGTTTTCATGGTTAATCTATATTGCAACATATGTCAGACTTATCTTCCTTTTTAAGGCTGAATAATATTCTATTGTATGTGGGTGCCACATTTTGTTTATCCATTCATCTGTTGATGGAGTTGATTCTTCCTTTTTGGTATTGTGAATATGTATTTTTAAATTGTGTGTGTAAATCAAGTGTATCAATGATGAAATCACAAAGCGTTATATTTGGTCATACCAAGGCTCCACAGGAGCCAAAAATGGGTGTTAACTAAAAGGCAAGCTTAGTTGCTACAAAGGGTAATATTTAGAGAATACAAAGAAAGTGATTAAGAAATAAGTTTCTAGAGTCAGACTATTTAAATTTACATCCCATTTCTGCCATTTCCTAGTGATATGATCTAGTTTCCTATTCTATAAAATGAGGATGATGATATCTACATAGAGTTGCTATGATGTTTAAGTGACATAATCTTTGTAAAAGTATCTTGTACAGGGCCTCACATATAATGTTCTCTCAACAATAAGTGTTTATTAGAGGTGACTGAATATTCTGAGGATAGCTTATGTTGTCAGTACATATATAACTGCTTTCCCTATATAACATATGCTTTTGTTTTACAAGGCATATTCATCAAAGTTTGGCCCTAAATACCAAATAAAAAAATGAAAATTATATATTTTAACAAAAAGGCAAGAGCAAATTTGAGGATATAAACATAGGAGATGTTTTAAATCCCTTCGAAGATAAACAGTTATACTGACAGTGATTCTTTTCTAGAAGACAAATTGTGTATCCTATCAGATATTTGTCAATTCATGCTCTTACTCATATACACCAAGCAGACAAATGCATGTGGGGACTCTCTACCTTATTCGACAATCCCAGATTTGTTGTGGAAAGGGCCCTAATGGACAGGATTCCCTCACTGATAATTCTGGCAGCTGGAAGTGGGGTAATTAGCATGCATGTTAAGTAGAATAGTGGATATTCATTTTGTATAGGTGACCAAGGTAATAATGAAAGCAACATAAATATAACTTAAACATATGGAAATATATGAATTCATTATTCTAAATATATTTAACTGTGGATATTTTCAATTAAAAATGGGTCATCATTGTTCTGTTATAGCAGTAATAATGTAAACAAACAGTAAGATACAGGAAACCATTTCAAGGTCAGCCACTTCTAATATAATGGGTCTTTGCTAAAAAAAAAAAACAACAAACTCAATTATTTCTACATATTGATTAAGCACATGATTCTGTTTACCATATTGTGTACCAATTCAGAGTACTTTTAGGAAGTGTTTTTAAAATAGACAAAGAAACATTTCCATTCTATTTTTAGTATAGTGATCTCCAAAACCACAGTGGCAAATTTGCATTCAAATTTTCTGGAGTCAAATTTTTGTAAAAAAATATTTACAAAAACAAAAATAAAAACAAAAACAAAAAACAGCTGTTAAAATAATCTCATCAATTCCTGCAATTCCTAGGCTCACTGGATTCTGTTCTTACCTAGTTTAACTTCTGCGTTTTCAGTCAGCAAGACATTTTGCCCTTTAATATCTCGATGAATCACTTTATGCTGGTGCAGGTGACTCAGCCCCTGGAGTGACGGAGAGTTGAAAAGGGTTAATAGATACATAAGCCAAGACGCAAATAAACTATTTCAGATGTTAATGATCCAAAAAAGATGTAGACTCACTCAGACTTTCATTGTTATATTCACATCTTTTATGTGTTCATAGTGCTATACTAAGCCATAGGCAATGGATCAATATAAACTGAAATACAGAGGTGGCCCTTACAATGCATGGTGCTGTGCTAAACAAAATACTTTCATGTCAGCTTTGATCTCAGGAACCATGGAACCACACCAGAGATATGTTTCAGCTAACAGTACTGCGAAAAGTGAGGACCTTCTGTTATACAAATTTAATTAAGCACAATAATATATTTCTCAGAACAGCCAAGAAATTTCTCATTGTCTTTAGCCAATATGCCTCATATTAAGAAAGAAAGGCAATAATTTTTATTTCCTTTGTTGGTTATCATAACTGTCAATCTTAGTGCTTTATGATATTTGTGATTTTGTGTTCATTATATGAAATGATTATTCAATGACATTCAAAACTGATTGTGTTCCATTTCTCCATGAATTACTCTGATTTTGGCTCCTTTGTGGTGTGAATTCTAAAACCTACAAACTTGCTCTAAGGTAATCACATGTTTTTCAGATAAAATATAGATAGCCCCAAAGTATCGAAAATGGGAATCTTGAAGAAAATTATGCTCTGTTAACACTTGATAATTGAAGGTATTAGATACCTAAATATTGTCATTTTATTACTTATATTATTCTATACTTTTAATTTTTCTCCACAACAACAAAACCATGGTATGAGAGATGAGTTTGACATGAAAAGAAACAAAACTAAATATATGAATTCAGCATGAGAATGCCCCTAAAGATCCATGTTTATGTTTAGGAATATCGGTAAATCTAAACCACCTAAACCACATGACAGAACAGTTGAGGCACTGATTTGGGTCTTAAAAAATTACTTTTCTTATCTAGTCAGTTTGGCTCAAAACAGCCATCGAGCAGATTGAAATGTATGGTTTTCATAGTATATCAACACCCCATAAATCCTTAAAAGAGGGATTGAAGATCCCATTCCCTCCTTCACCACCAAAGTGGTTGGAAGCAGATACCAGAGCACATAAGTGCACCAAAGGTGGTATTTAATGAGATCATACAATGCATGATCATCTCTGAAGCTTCTTGTGATCAAATGTCCCTCCCAATGAGTCGCCTTATCTCGAATGCCAGTATCATTTGGGAAAATGAATGTTTTGGAAGAAGGAAGAAAACAGCTGTTTCCAAACATTTTAAAAGTAGGTATTGAGAGATACTCATGGGGTAAAACCTCCCTGCTGCTTTCAGAACCCCTGTAGGGTTACCCAGCAGCACAGAAAAGCATATTATGTAGATCCAGCCCTGCCAACCCAATAGATTCTTGGTAACCACTGGGTGGTCAAGATGACTAAGAAATCCTTCATGCTTTCTCTGAATGAGTAAAATTTTAAGTCAGAAACTCAAATTAAGTTTACATAATGGCACATCTATACTTGGGGATAAATGTCAGATTTGAAGGAGGTCAACAGCTGTACCTTCTTGTTTTCCCCCTCAAATTTTATTTTACGTTCTGTTTGAGAAATATTTTTGCCTACTCCCAAGCCATGGAGGTATTATCCTATGTTTTCTCTTAAGAATTTTATTTTTTATATCTTTCACATTTATATCTATAATCCAGCTGGAACTGATTTTTAAATACGTATAAAGCAGGTGTCAAGTTCCATGGCTATTTTCATATGGCTATTTAATTGACTTTGTTTACTGATAAAAGCACCCTTTCCACAGGCACTGTAGCATTTCCTTTGTCATATATCAGGTGTCCATATGAAGTGGGTCTGTTCTTGGAGGCTTGATTCTATTTCCTTGGCCATTTGTCTATTCTTGTGACAATACTATTCTGTCCTAATTACTTAGTAGCTTTATAAGTCCTGACAACTGGCAGCGTAAATCCTCCAATATTCTTCTTCTTCAAGATTGCCTTGACTATTCTTGGCCTTTTCCATTTCCATATAATATTTTAAAAATCAGCTTGTCAATACTCACAGATATACCTACAGGGATTTTGGTAGGGAGTTCAATGAAACCATGGATCAAACTAGGGAGAAATAACATCTTACAATATTGAGCATTCTTATTTATGAAATGGTATATACCTCCATTTATTAAGGTCTTCTTTAATTTCTCTCAGTCATATTTTGTAGTTTTCTATGTAGAAGTTATTCACATCTTTTTGTAAATTTATTTCTAAGCATTTGATTTTTATTCCATTATACATATTATCATTTTCAAATATCACTTTCTATTTTTTGCCCAATGTGGTTTGAATTTAATGAATGTCATTTTAATGCCTTTCTTTTTTAACTTCCATCCATCCATCTATGTATTATTTTTAATGTATTTCTTCCTTCTTTCTTGACTTCTATTCATGCATCCATCCACAGCTCATAATCTGTCTCTCAAAGGTATATCTTGGACACATCAAGAAAATAGTTTTAACTTGTTTCCTTAAATTAAGAAGGCCGAGGTTATAAATAAATGATTGTTAGGTAGATCTAGTAAGAATGCTCAATGGATATATAATAGCCTCCATAATAGTAAAAAGAGATAATTAAACTAATCTGAGTGAACTAAAATATGACCAATTACCTTCTCCTCGAATTGAGCTCAGCAAATATAACACTATAGCCCAGTTTGCTTGATTGTGGGATTTGAGGGCAAAACTGGGCAAACAGGCAGTCTTGTCCAGCTATTTTTATTGATTTAAGTGATTAAGTCTCAAAAAAATTTTTTAAAGGTAAAATCAGTTAGACTAGGTCCTTGGTACTGACATGGCTAAAGTCACGCACACAATCCTCAAATTAGTTACAACTTTCACAAATGAAAAACTCGAATAAGTGATCAAAATATCTCAGAAACAATCCATTTTCTAAGTGGGACTTCATCTTCATGATCTCAAGTCAGATTTCCAATTGGAAACATCACTGGAAACGAATCACTTATTAAAAGAAATCTCCAGTGTTAATGCAAATGAGAGTACACATGGGCCTTTTCAGAATGGCTCTCTCTTCCATTAGAACAGATCACAGCGAACTACCACTACCTCCATCGCTGTTAGAATAAAGCTTTAAAGAGGGTTCCAGTACATTGATGAATTTCAGTGGAAGGTTAGTACAAAGTTCAACATCTTCCAATATATCTTGAGTTGTTACTTACTCGTAAGATCTCCCTGCAGATGTATGCGATCCACTCCTCCTTCAACGTGTTCCCTTTCGTGTTCTTGATCAGGTCAGTGACAGAGCCAGCGCCACAAAACTCCATCACCAACTGGCAAAGGAAGCAAACATGCCATTCTTATAATTATGCTTCTCTGCTTCCACTGGTTTGAGTTCAGAAAGCACAAAGTATTGCAGCTGGCTGCTTTGGAATGCCATTCTTACAAAGAAAAAATGATCGTTATACAATATATAAAACATAAACTTTTATCTCAATTTCTTCCCAAAATGATAACAGAAAGATTATTATTAAATTTCTCACTTGAAAATTATAGCCAGAAATTGGGAGAAATCTCCATATTCTACATATTTTATAAAATGAGGGCAGCTTGTTGGTTCAGATGTAGTTGAGAATATCTGTGTTTTTATCCAGCAGTTGAAGTCATTCTTCCTACAAAAGTAGAATCATTCCCTGTCTGAAAGAGCTATGGTTGTCTAGGCAGTCCCAAGTAAGAACAATAGAAGTACATATTGTGTAAGTTATTGGTTTGTAAGTGGCACTATAAGCTGTCAGAGTGAGGATCCTCTGTTTTTAATTAAATTCAGCAAATGTTCCCAGGAGGTTGGACACATCAAATAAATTCAATAAACAATAAGTCCTAATTTAGCACCTTTCATCCAAAAAGCTCCAAGTTCTCTATAAATATAAACTCATTACAGTACTCAGCAGCTTTATAAAATAGGCAGAAAATAAATGCTTCCCTTACTTAATGGAGAAGTAGAGACTAGAAGAAGAAAAGCAATCTATCTGCTTTTACATTCATTTTCTAGGTTTAGAAACACACATCAATTTCCATACTTTTTCCCTCTTCTTCAAAAAGTCTTCAACAAAGTCACCTTATTGGATACTTATATCTTTTTGTAATTATATAAAAAAGAATTCAGAATAACTACCAATCAATCTCTGATTTGACACTAGAAACAGAACAAATATGGAGCCATAATGAAATCATATTAATGATTTTGGCTTTGTCCAAATGTACATAGTTAACATCAGCACCATGTCACTCACTCCTAGAAGATATTCCATCAGGCTGCAAAATCTTCAGGCAGAAATTATTTTTTCTTTTTTTCTGCATGCCTAGTAGAAACTCATAAAATTAGTTTCATTAATGAGTTTCCAATGCCTGTTGTAACTTGTCTTTTTATGATTTTACGCAGGGTAAGGAAACTCTCCCACCTTCTCCACAGTGCCAGTGGATATATAGTGACATATCACCAGCTTTTGTAAGGAAATTTGAAAAGTGCCACAATAGACCACAGTCCAACCCAGTAAGTGTTGTAAAGTTATATTTGATAGCCAGGAAGCTATCAAAGACCATACAATCATGTTAGAAAGGACTCAGGAGTCAACTTCAAGAGGTTCTCACTGGCCAAAGATGGGATAATCTGAGCATTAATAAGAATAATAACTGTGACGTCCTGAAACACATTAAATATGCTTAACCAGAGCATTAATCAAGACATTCCTCAAAAAGAATATAACTCATACTGTTTGAAGAAAATGAAGAAGCAACTTCTTATTTTGAGATTTGGTAAACAGAGAAAAGAAAAATCAAGAATTTACACTGTCTTTCTTGTACAAGTTTTACCACTGAGTATAAATAATTAAAGAGATAAAGTTTCTCTTCATAAAAAGAAGGTATTCCTCCTAATAAATGAAGAAGACATAATAGAATTAGAATATTGCTATTTCACAACCTCTAATGGATTTAGGTATTGATCAATGGCTGTTCACATTAAAAAGTAAGAAATAACCAGCTCTGATTTGCCTTTTGAGTAGAATAACATACCACCTAATGAGTAGTATTACCAAAAACAAAACAAAACAAAACAAAAAAACCCAAACCTGAATCTAATGAAGCTTCTAGTTCCAACTACCAATTTATAGGAAATGCAGAGGACTGAGGAACATGCTACATTAAGGGGATATGATCAACAAAACCAATAGGAAACTCCACAGGGCAAATGACCATTTCCTTCAACAAATTGCAGGAAGGAAGAAAAAGATGGAGGGGAAATCTACGGAATTTAAAACATTTTAAAAGATATACCAACAAATTGCAATGAATGCAACTTATCTGGATATTCATTTTTTTTAAAAGCTGTTAAAATTTTTCAGACAATCTAGAGACTAGATATTTGATGATACTAAGGAAATGTGGTTAATAATTTTTTAAGTGTGATTATCGTACTGTGGTCATGTAAGAAGGAATTCTTATCTTTCAGAGAAACATACTACAGATAAAATGATATGATTACAGTCTCTTCTACAAATGGGACAACTGGATATCACATGTAAAAGAACAGTGTTGAATCCTTACCTCACACCATATACAAAAATCTATCTCAAAGTGGATCAAAGAGCTAAATATAAGAGCTAATGCTATAAAACTCTTAGGAGAGAACACTGGGGTAAATCTTCATGACCTTAGCTTTGGCAACAGTTTCTTAGCAATGACAACAAAAGCACAAGCAACAAAAAAATACATATATAATTTGGATTTCATCAAAATTAAAAACTTGTGCATTAAAGGATACTATCAAGAGAATGAAAAGACGACCTATAGAATGAAAAAAATATTTACAAATTATATGTCTAATAACATCTAGTATCCAGAATATACAAAGAAAGTTACAACTCAACAATAAAAACATAAACACCACAATTTTAAAATGGGAAAAAGACAAATAAATATTTCTCTAAGGAAAATATATGACTAACAATTACATGAAAAGATGCTCAATGTTGATAGTCATCAGGAAAATGCAAGTCAGAACCACAATGAGAGACCACTTTACACCTACTAGGATGGATTTACTTTAAAAAAAAAAAAAAGGTGAAAAAAAACAAATGACGGCAAAGGTGTGGAAAAATTGGAACTCTCATATACTGCTGGAGGGAATATAAAGTGGTGAAGTTGCCAAGACAGTTTAATGGTTGCTCAATACAGTCCTACCATATGACCTAGCAATTCCACTTCTGGATATATACCCCAAAGAATTGAAAACAGGTGTTCAAACAAACACTTGCATCTGAATGTTCAAAGGAGCACTATTCACAATAGACGAAGGGTGGAAATAACCAAAATATTCATCATCAGATAAATAAACAAAATGTGCTATATCCATATAATAGAATATTATCCAGCTATGAAAACAAATGAAGTGCTGATACACGACACAACACAGATGAATCCTAAAAACATTATGCTAACTGAATAAAGCCAGACCAAAAAAACGGCTATATATTGAATGAATCCACTTATATGAAATATTCATAATAGGTAAATCCGTAGAGACAGAAAACACATTAGTGGTTGCCAGGCACTAGGGGGAGAGAAGAAAGGGAATAGTCATTTAACGGGTACAGAGTTTTTTGGAGGGAGTGACAAAAAGTTCTGGAACTAGATAGAGACAATGGTTGCACGACATTGTGTACTTAATGCCACTGAGTTATACATTTTAAGATGGTTAAAATGATAAATTTTATGCTATTTATTTTTACAGAGTTGAAAGAAGGATACGATGAGAATATTTGTTTCAAAATAATAGCAGAATGGAGGAAGTAGATGGCTGCGTAGACGGCACAGGACTGGCCACTGGATGATGGTTGTTGGGGCTAGTTTTGAACATATTGGTATCCATTATACTGTTCTGACTACTTTCGTGTATTTGGGGGATTCTCCACAATACAAAGTTTTTAGAAATCTCATTATATAGCAAATCATGGTTCAATGGCAGCAGGATAGACCAAAGAAACGTCCTTGGCAGAAAGAAAAGAATATTTTCTCAAGTGAGCAAAACATTTTTGTGCCTCTTCTTTAAATCCTATTTCGAAAAATATAGACCTCCTATGAATGCATCCATTGCTCCTGTATAAGCTGGAGAAAATGTCCCACCACTGAGCTCTATTAGGCCATGTAATTATAGTTCCCAAGGAAAGCAGTGGACACCCAGTGATTCCAGTCTTTTAAAATTAGATTGGACAAAATAATTTCAAATATTCAGTAGGAAACAATCCCGCTCTAGCCAGGCACTAATGTGACTGATTTCTATAATTCGTTTCTCCATTCAGGTCCAACTGAAAGCTGCTAAATTCTTTTCATCTCACTATGAAACAAAATGATTGTTAAATTATGTAATGGGATTTAAATGGAGAGAGAGAGGAAAAGAGGGAGGGGGGAGGAAAGGAGAGAAGGAGGGAAGGAGGGAAGGAAGGAAGGAAAGAAGGAAGGAAGGAAGGAAGGAAGGAAGGAAGGA